ATAACTTTAGAATCATTGTAATGAAAAATTAAATTAATATTTATAACTGGACGACATCTTCGCTATAAAACACAATCAAGTAACTACGGTTTATTTTCGTCGTCATCCAGGTGACTCCAGCAACATTGGTCAAATCGTCAATAAATCCAGTAATAGGCTTCTATACTTCTTCTTATTTAATATCGCACATTTCGCATACCCTGTACTAACATAAAAGGATTTTTAGTTAAATAAATAAATACGTTTCATATTTATTAGAATTTTATTGTCAGTTCACTATCTGATTTAATGTAATTTCACCTCAATTCAATTGGCCTTAGGGAACAGAAAGCTAACAACGGTTTGTTAAAAGGAATACTTATTTCACCCAGCAATCACGAAAGAATCGTCGGAAGCTTTTTCATCCATTCGTGGTAAAAAGTGGCCACTTAGACAAAGTCCCACATTAATATTAAAACTCTAAGATTAAAGCAAAGTTCATCACTCCTTCCTTACGTTTTAATTTCAAAGAACATATTATATTCAGGTAAAACGTAGATAATACACAAATGTATGTGCGATGTGCGATACAAACTGTCTCTATTTTTGATTGACTTCCCAAAAGGAGGTACTCGATTCGTCTGTATGTTTTTTTTTCTCCCGTCCCATCTGTAAACATATAAAAAATATGATACTTGAGACTGGTGTTATTAATAAAAGCTCGTTCAATTTTTTAAAAGTTATTAAAACAAAGTAAAGTCTGGTCTTTAAAAAAATATTGTCATTATTTCATTTTACAGAGAGCATTTCCTTGTAAGATATAAGAATTAAAAACCTTAATTCGTAAAATTATTCCGATACTACGCGGAAGTGGCGCCATCTATTAGAAACTTTATGAATGTGAATGTATTCTCGACCAACGATACTACCGACAAAATACTTAAAACATCCTAGTAAAAGAGTCCGCTGTTGCGAATTGTTTAAATGCGGTTTAACTAAACTTAAGCAATTCGTTAGTTATAATAGAATTATTTTCAGTACTGTAATTAGCGTTTTGAATAAAACATTTTATTATGAAATGTATATAAATATGTCCTCCGCGTAATTCAACAACAAGAGTTATGGGCAATGGTGTAAGTTCTAATACGGAGTAACTAAAAAAAAAACTTTAAATTGAAAATATCGTGTAACCATTTTATTTCATTTTATTGTGCCAAAGCAATAGTATAGACAAATGTAAGTAGGTCCCTATTATTATTATCATAAAATTAATGTAATCATCGACAGCAAAATAACAGAACCACGCTCCGAATCACAAACGATTCCATTTTTATTAATAAATGAATCAAAACACAACGGGAAGTTACTATTATTTATTACCCTATCGGTTGAAAGCTAACGATCGAAAAAATTATGTTTGTTTTTGTAACGTCCCATTTTTGGTGCTGAACAAGTGTTTGAATATAAACAAGTGGATGAACGTATACTTGTGTAAGTAAACAAATTGTGTAGACGTATTTTGCCTTCGGTACCACACAACGATGATAGATCATGAGAACATGTGATTGTTCATACATTTAAGATCATTACAAAATTTAACCAAAAACATGTAAACATTCTCACGATTGAAATAAATATTTTAACTAACAAAGTTACGATATCCGTCTACTAGTAGCAAACAATTTAGTCGCTTTTATTTGAATAAAAAAAAGTAATAAAAACGACATAAAAAGGTTAAACTCAAGATTAAAAACTGAATTGCCTAAGTCTAACAACTAAAAATGTAGACTAGACATATTTACCGCAGTTGTTTTCTTTAAAATATCTACGACCTATTAGACTACAGAAGCAAAGACAATTTCTTTAAAAGCTACTAATATCTTTTTAAGAGGTCTTATCGACGAAGAAATACTAAATAAGGTTCGTCGTGAACATTATTTAGAAAAAAAACTATAGAGTTTACTTATTTCGAAAAGGCGGGTCGTTGCGGCATCAGATAACGCCAGATTTGCGGCCAGTCCATTAACAAATTACCTCTTTAAAGAGCTTCGTATAGATAGTTCGAGTACTTATTTACATACTGAAACTGTTTTGTCACTATGGAGTAACTGGCTATCTTCTATCGTTCAGCGTGGTGGGCTTACATAAGTACTAAACAACATTTCGATTTTATATTTCACTAACTTTTGCCCGCGACTCCATTCGCGTGAAATTTAAAAAAAAAACAAAAGTGAGTGGCCTATGTGTTATTCCAGACTATGCTCTGTATCCACACTAAATTTTATCCAGATCCATTCAGCCGTTTAGGACACAAAGTCTAACAAACATCCATTCATCTTAACTTTCGCATTTATAATACTTATATGATTAGTAAGATGAAGAGGTAATGTTATACAAAAAGGAATTCTCTCAAACGCTTTCACAAAAACAGATGACAACGATATGGGATAAAACAAATATTTTCTCCTAAAAACAGAGTTTGCTATCTCGATGTATGGAAAATATAGCAAGATTTATTTCATATTTAGTATGTCCAGTAGAATAACAGTGAGGCTTGTTTTCTGGGAATTGTGGCCGGAAAGAAGCTACCCAAGTTGAGATACACAAATTCGTACTAATGTTTATTTTATTTCCGGGTAAATTTTTAACGAGACGTAAGAACTCTTTAGGTGAATCCCGCCATGCTACCAGACTTGACCCCGTATGCAAAATTTAATTCAACATTCTAAAACAGAGCTAGGGAAATATTTTAAATGTGCGGTTTAGGAGTTTGAAGTATAACTTTGATATTTTCTAAAATATATTTCTAATGTAAACGGAATACAAAGCACACGATTCAAATTAATCGTTGCCAACTGGCGTTTATGATTCATAGGCGGACCAAAATTTTGATGAAAGTATAACTTCTTAATATAATAAGTAATTGTTTTCATGTGTAAATATATTGCGATAAAAATAGGTACTCAAATGCGATGGTAGCGATATTAACCTTACTACAGTTTACGTAATTTCAAGTATCCAGGCATCTTAGACGGCCTAAAGATAGCTAACAAAAATATGGCGTGATTACATTTCACAAATTAAAAATACTTCTATTACAGGTAATCCTGAACCAGAGAAAACTTCATGAACGTTGCAATAGTGGCAAGTCGGCAGAGGCAGTTACAAAATAGTCCTAATGTTTAAATTTTAAACGTAAGAAGTTTTACGAAAAAAAACCATTGCAATGATACGCAATTGGCATTTTAATTATTCGTGAAACGTAATGTAGTTAAGTTTAGTCGCGACGTCACTTCCGGTGAGCACGCACCGCGCAGGCGCAGCGCCACCGGAACCGGAAGCTGCGGTGCGGCCGCACAATCTGGAGTTAGACGGCGGGAAACACTGAATCAAGTGCAGCCTCGCTTTCTGTTTTATATATGAGACTGTTAAAGATAAATGCCAACATTCTCATGTAAACCTATCCTCTACAGTTCCATTCCAGCAGAAGCTAATCCGCGCAGTAAATTATAAAAGCTTTTATATGCTAGGATAACGTTGTTGTCGGAGAAAGCAATGATAGGTCCAGTCTTGATGTTAGGTTGTTTATTTAATAGGAGTTTTATTTGTATTAATACAGGATAATCACAGAAATGCGTAATAATTACTCTATCAAATCATTTTTTTACATTCTCACCTTAAATACTAAAAAAACAATTTCATTTCTCATGTTTCAATATTAAACGAGAAGGCCATCTGTAACACCGACACATTAATCATAAATAACGTTATTTAGAAAATAAGCTAATTGATGATTAATTAACGTTCAGCCTTGAGACTGTGCGTTCGATTTTCGTGTTACAATCACTTTTATAAATTACAAGCTTTCGCGCGCGAATCCGTCCATGTGAAACTAAAAAAAAACACAAGTGAGTACCCTACGTGTGTGTTCGTCCAGAGTATCCTCTACGTCTTTGCCAAATTTCAAAGAGAGTTCAGTCGTTTAGGCTACAACCTCTAACAAACATCCATCCATCCATACATCGAAACTTTCCCATTTATAATATTAGTAAGATGTTTTTCTAATACTCACTGTAGGTCTGGTGAAACAACCACACACATACTAGAAAAATTAGGAATCTCGAATAACTAAATTTCTACTCTTTTCATTCAACCTTTTCTCATGATAAATAATTTGTATCAAATATTTAAAATGATAATGTAGTTTTTTTTTTAATGTTTCCTAAAAGCATTCATGTGTCTTGGACGTAAGGTTTATGTGTATTGTCTCAAACAGTACTTCTAAACATCTACACAGAACGAGGCTCGAGTCTTTTGTGGGACGTACATCGAAACTTCCTCCCCAAAACTCCATCCGAACGTAGAGAGTAAAGCCTTGTACTTGGTACAACCTGCTTGCGTCCTCTTTTTCTGTCATATTTTTACAAAACTTATCGCAACCAGGCATAACCAAGTTTGGGTTAAAATATTACAAAGGAATTTGAAATAAATAATTACATTGCTTTAAAAATAATGAAAAAAGTTTCTGCTGTTTTATACTACTTCTTTTACGCTTAAATCATCACCAGCTCACTATCTGTCTCCACTGAGGGGCTCGGAGCCTACCCTAAGTTAGGGTGACTAGGCCATAGTCAACCACGCTGGCACAGGGCGAGTTGGTTGAATTCCACATATCTTTGAATTTCTTCGCCGATATATGCAGGTTTCGTCACGATGTTTTCCTTCACTGTAAGATCGTCAGGTAAATTATGTACATATGAAATTTCGATGAACCGGAAATCACATTGGTACATGGCGGGATTCGAACCCAAGACCTGTAGATTACAAGTCAAGTGGTTAAACCACTGAGCCACCGACGCGATGCTCTAAAATCAACGAATAATCACACAAACATTTTACGATTATTCCACTTGCATTATTTCACTCTAATTAAAACTGGCATGTACACGCTTTTAGTATTAAACGAATGAATAACATGTCACCGCGTTGTCAACGTATTTTAAAGTGATTGACAAATTAAACATTTCAAATCAAAGTCATAGCTTGGTTTTGAATAGTTAATATTATTTATAAAATGAATACTTTATTCCCTAAGATATGTAAATTTTTACGTGTGTATAATAATAATTTAGCGCGTAGATTCCATAAGACTTCAATTCTTTACCAAGATTCCGTTAAAGAAGCCAATCCTCTAATATTGGAACCCATCGAATATGAGAGTTGCACGTTAAGGAGCCACGACAATGAAAGGCGTCAATCTCTATATGAATTCGGTTTATACGTTGGTGCATGTCTGCCGAAATTCGTACAAAAGATTCAAATGCAACACACCGACGAATTGGAGATTCTCGTCGCGCCCGAAGGCTTGTTCCCCGTACTAAGTTTTATGTGTCTGCACCAACACGCCTGCTTCAGTCAATGCTCGTCGGCGACGGCCATCGATGTACCCAGTCGCACATACAGGTTCGAAGTAATTTATGACATTCTTAGTTTGAGATTCGGTGAAAGAGCCAGAGTCAAAACTTACACCGACGAAGTGACTCCATTGCATTCGGCTTATGATATTTGGAACGGTGTCAATTGGCATGAACGAGAAATATATGACATGTTCGGTGTTATTTTTACTCACCATCCTGATTTGAGGAGAATTTTGACAGACTACGGGTTTAAAGGTCATCCATTGAGAAAGGATTTCCCCCTAGTTGGGTATACAGAGGTGCGGTATGACGATGGTTTGAAGAAACTGGTGTATGAACCTGTTGAGTTTGCGCAGGAAATGCGAAGCTATCAGTTGGAATCTCCTTGGAATTATTACAAAAATTTCGATGAAGATTACAATGCTCCACCACCACCGCCCAAAAAGAAGTGAGATTATTTAGTGTTTTGTTTATTTTAATAAAGACAATTTTTGATTATTTAATTTATTTTATCAAAACATCTATTACAGAAATATATTATGAGGTGTTCAAAACTTTTAAATAACAACAATTATGAAGTGCTAGACCGAATTCTCCGCACTTGGTTAATTATGATAAATTTTACTATAAATCAAAGTCATACAAAATATATATTTGTTTAAATTTAATTTGATGTAAACAGTAGTTTGATATAATGCTCACGTTTGATAAGGAACTTGGTATTCGTAGTTAGTCGTTTAAGTGCATAATTAACACATGCCCAATGTGCACAGCTATAAATATTAATTAAAGTTTGTATCTACTTATCAGTACTACTACCATACACAGTAACACTACGTACTTCTAATGAGATCATCAGTAATACGTTAGAACAATCTATAATGTAAAGATCAAAATAACAACTACTAAGGTTTTACTTCTCAGTTTGGTTCTATTTAAAGCTCTTAGAAAACTAATATGAAATATAATCTACTTCTTCAGTCTCATCGAGCAGATGACAGTCCTTTCAAAAGCTTGAGAATTAATAACTTTGGAAATTAGCGGAAGGCGGCTAATTATTCCATCTCCATTTCAAGTTAGTTCTACTTACTATAAGAATCTTTAACTCGGTTGTGGGACAATTAAATTCATTTCATTGTCTTACTTTCAATTGTAGAACACTTTATATCAAATGTTTAATATTTTACATTGAATTTATAATGATATTTTAAACATTTCAGAAATGCGTTAAATTTTAATAAATGTTTAAAATAAATTGAAAATATGTTACACTGTTCAACACGTGTGAATAAGTATCTTGTTTCGAAGTAGTACAGTAGTGGGATATCTTAGTGGGAATTTTGGCATCGTATCTGGCTCTATCATACGGACATCTGCGTAAGAATAACGATAGAGTGGAGGAGTGAATGAGCAATCGGCCGCAGTGTGTGGCGCGCCCTCGCCATCGCCGTCCGCACGCCGCGCTCGCTCCCTACTCGCACTAAACTTAATACGTACTTATTACCAACTTAAATCACTTATTACAAACTTAACTTACTACGTATTTCATTAAAATTTGAAGGCATAAGTAAAAATAGTACTAACGTAAATTTTTAAATAACTACAAACATCCCGAAGAACTTTGTTGGTAAACTTTTACGTCAATGATTAAAGGGTAAGTAGTTTTTTTATCATCTTTTTTTAATTGTATTTGTAGTTTAAATCAGTAATCATTAGCTAATTTATAAGCATGTTTTCAATGAAAGAATAACTACTATATTATCGAAAAACATTTTTATTTAATATTTGTTTACTTGCTTGTTTTAATAACATTAATGCATGTTGTGCGAAGTCCCTCGTGTTATAGATACGATTATTTTAAATTTAAGATAGTTTTAAGTTAATATCGTAGAAGAAAAAAAGCACAAGTTTAATTAAGTTTTTATGAGTTTTGCGTAATAATCATTTCTGTTCTTTTATTATTCATATAATTGTTTTCATTGCAGCAAATATAGATAATGTTATCGTATAGAGGACAACAATAACATGTTTTAAAACATTGAATTTTACTTTGTTACTTTAAGAGATTCGGTAAATTCGATTGTTAACGTTTTATTTTGAAGAATGGTACATTTTAATGAATATTTTATTTTGATTATTGTAAATATAAAAAAAAAATGTATTTTAACATTTGTTGGCATGCTTTTTGTGTCAAACGTAATAATCTACGAATAAAAAAAAACAGAATAATCAGATAATATGAAGTATAAGGGTTAACGAACCATAAAACAGCATATTTCCTTTTCACTATTGCACAAATTGCAGAACACTATTATTAATTTAATGTAACCTTAACATATTAAATTGTGTAGTCTTTAAATGACTAAGAAGTAAATTGTTCGATATTTACATATTCAACAAGAACGCGTTGTCTCTCAGACAGAATATCCGTTCAAATATTTGCCGAGAGAGTAAGACTCAGTTTAACACTTCCTCTGTTAATTGTTGTTCTACGTTACGGACGCCACGGTTATTGTCCGCTGATAGCGCAGTACGGCTGCGTTGTTGTTTACTCACATAACTACGAGTTTCCACTGATTGAAGACATGTACAAGAACATGTACCTAAAAGAAAAAAAAGAACGTTTTTCTTGCTTGTTAGCAATATCAAATTTAAACAATTTCTAAGTATTATTTACAAGATGAATTCATTTGAAATAAATATAATTATCATCACCAGCTTACTGTCTCAACTAAGGGAGTCGGAGTTTACCCAAAGTTAGGGTGACCAGGTTTTATTCAACCACGCTGGCCTACTGAGGGTTGGTTGACTTCACACAAATCTTTCAATTTCTTCGTCGATATCTGCAGGTTGCATCACAATGTTTTCCTTCACTTCACTTATTGAGTATTTTTAAAATAATAATGTCACTATATAAATTGTTGTCTAGCAACTGAATAGCCTGTCCGAATTCAGAGACCACGGATTGATTACGACACTTATACAAATCGCTATTCTGAATTTAGAACCAAACGTAGTCACACTAATACCTTAACCATCACTGAAATATCATTATAACATACGAATATCCTTGTAAAATTATATAAAAATTACTTAATTCATCCTTATTCTGATCTATATTTTATTATTTCGTATTAATTAACCTAAAATTACGAAAATGCTCATCGAAATTATTAAATCATATTCCGAAACCTTTACCATAATTACTCGTTGCGCCGCAAATTTATATGTAAAGTAACAAATATTGTATTGCTTAAACAATACATAATTATTATATTAATTAAGTTGATCATGCGCTGAAAAGCTTATTTAAGCATGTGAAATATATTACTAGAAGAATCACATAATAATAAATATATGTGTAACTTACATTTGAAATGTATATTTATAAACAAACTGACTCTTTACTCAATAACTTTATCATAAACAAAAATAAATATAAAAAACACTTTGACTAAATGATGATAAAAAGTAACATACTGTATCTCATAAGTTTGTATGTGAATTTTTCACAAAGCATGTTCACGAGATAACAAATTCAATGAACCTTTTTCCATACAAGATTGCGGTCTTCGTACGGTTGAGTTCCAATATGTTGATAGTCCTCCTATTGAGGTGGCTGAAGTGAGATGCGCATTTTTCTCAAGCATTATCGCGGAAAAGTAGTTACCGGTACGAGATCGCATCCGTGCTCATTTTTGCAACATTCTCGATCGACTTTTCGGCACCCAGAATAACGGACGTAAGTCCAATATAACCCAGTAGATACCTTTATACGCGGTACTGAATCATTATTGACTGATCGAATCGTAACGTCGCGTACATGCAAATGACTTTTTGTATGTTCAGTCATCACTTGTACTCTTTGCAATTACGTTGTTGATTGCAAATTAAATATGTATTTATTGTTGAAGATTTTAATGACTTTAATCATTTACCTATAAAAGCTATGCTCTTAAATAAATGAAAAAATAAAGAATAAATCGACGATTCAAAAAAAGGATTTACAATTTTTTGTAAAGCTACTATGAAATAATAATGAAAGTATGTTATTTTATTTTAGAATTTATATTGCAGATCGAGATGGATATCTCATGTTTCACAATTTGACGACAACGCGGAGAATCTTTCGTGACTAGAAATATGCAGCAGCCTTGGTGGCTATACTTGCTAGCTGTATTCTGGATACGTCTTGATTCTAAGCTCGTAGGCAAGTCTTAAAAATATAATACAAGATTTATTTATACGTCATTGATTAAAACTTTTTAATCGTCATACAGGTCAAGCATTTCAGCCAGAATTTGCGGAACCTCTATCAAATCTAACTGTACCGATTGGGCGAGATGCAATCTTCAGATGCCTAGTTCAAAACCTTGGAGGTTATAGAGTAAGACATTTTACTATAAATAAAACAATCATTTATTCATATTTTATTTTCTAAAACATTAATTATTTACAGGTAGGTTGGGTGAAAGCTGATACTAAAGCGATACAAGCAATTCATGTGCATGTAATAACAAATAATCATAGAGTCAGTGTATCACATAACGGTCAAACTGTATGGAATTTACACATCAGGAACGTACAAGAAGAAGACCGAGGTCAATACATGTGTCAAATTAATACAGATCCAATGAAAAGTCAGGTTAGTATTTAAAATAACAAACTTTATAAAATAGAAACATGAGTTTTTATATCATACGGTGAAAAAGAGTTATCCGCAATTGCAGATGCGTTACCTACTATTAAACTAAAGAGAAGGGCACGCATAAAGGAGGGCATTTCCTCTTGCTATGCATTCCCTTCTCCACGCTTTCTCTTCCCACCCTTTTCTTACAAGTATAGTATAGGAAGGGACTAAAATTAGGCCTCCGGCGTTATTGAGTTTCTTTAGTTTGAAGTCAACGCACTCCATTCTGCCTTGTCAGTAGATACAGCCCTATCACGGTCATATGGTTTTGATTTTCTTCTAGTGTCTTTGTCTTTAAAATATCCATGTATTCTTACTTGTCGGTACAGAAATTCTCGTGTCATAATTTCAGGTACAAACATTTTTCTACTTCTAAGTAATGTTTTATCTTCCGGACCCCATTTTGAAGTGGGATAAAAAATGTTACGTGTAGAATTGAAGTAATGATAATATTTTAATTCATAAAACACGCCAAAAATAACTGTAAGGGCATAAAAACTTAAAAGAAGAATCAGTAAGAGAACATCGCAGGGGATACCTAAACTTTGGATCTTGAAAGAATTATCATATTCATTAACTAAAACTTTCATAGCTCTGATATATAATAATAGTAAAAGTAATATGGGATTTATAATCCATGATATTTTCCAATAGTAACTTGCTTTAACACCGATCATGAATATTATATCAACGTTGTGATTATTGTACCCGTAAATCCAATAAACAGAAATGGAGAAGAAAAAGCTATTAATAAGTTGTATAATTTCTATAGCATCCGTAAAAGATATAACCAAATCAGCACAAAAAATTGGACAAGATATTAAACATAAAAGCAATATTAAAGCAGCACAATATACATTTTTATATGTCTGTACGGTTTTAAAATTATTCACTAGTAAGTCGTGCAAATAAAAAAGTGTAATAAACAAATTAACAAAAAGACATAGAAACACGGCGGAAAACCAAAGAAAACTCCAAATCGAACTTTCATCGTAATAACTAGTAATTTCTGAAACTGAAGCGAATATTGAAAAAAACGGATTGTTCCCCAATTCTAAGACATTTTCTTCCTCGCCGTGAAAATAAGACATACTCTTGATACCGCTGTAGATAATTAGCGCAAACATAACTGAATAAAATAAAGCAAATAAAGTTACTGCAATAGCTGTCATAGTCGCGGGACTACGGAATGGGATATTTTTGGATAAAAATGCGAACATACCAAAACCAGTTCCAAATGACAACACGCCGCGGGTTAAAGTTAATGTACAAGATTTAAAATCATAATCATTCCAATTAATATGTATCTTTGATGAATACCATGCACCACTAGCAGATAAAGCAACGCAAAATAACACAAATACAACAAAACTTACATACACGACCAATATTTTGATTGCAATTCGCATTGATTTTTCTTTTCTCAAAAACAAACAGAACAAAACAAAACAGACCGAGCTGCTAATGATCAACGATTTCCATTGAAATGTACAGTTCTCATTCAGTGTAATTTTTCCACCAATTTCTCGTTCGAAGAAGCAAGAACTTGCCGTTTTCATGCCGCAGTCGTCGTCGAATAACATTTGCGTTTCAATACAGTGTTGAAAAATTGAAGTGTTAACGCGCTTTACCATACATCTTGAATTATTGAATTCGTCGCAAGTGAACCACGGCGGGGGATCCAGCGCTGCGTGGAATGTATAATTTAAATACCACGAACTGAGTACGATCAAGTACAAGGATTTGTAAACAATCAAAACCACAGTTCCGTACCCGATGCTTCGTAGAATTGGGAAAAAATTCCACATAGATATCGCATCACAATTCGTGTACTGAGATATACAGATCTCCGAATAAACTAGTGGCAAACCAATAAATATCGCTGAGAGTATATAAATACCGCCGTGGAAATAGAAACCGTTATGTGACATTTCGATCGGTGAAAAAACCATGGTTACTTCGCCCATCATCCAAACCCATAGAATAAGTCTGTAATTACCATAAGTTTTCCACCGACATTCAGAATCCATTATTGATTTGTTTGTTTCTTTAACATTGTGAATCAATTTGCACTTTTGACAGTCAAGATAATTTATTATTATCGTGGCCATTTAGATTAAACTATCTTTTCACTTCAATATTGACAATCAATATAAAAGGAATAACAAAAGAACAATAAAAATAAATGATAAACAGATAAAGGGAATTAAACTGCTGGGAACTGCAGGCGGGCGACGCAGCGGGTAATGATTCGTATATGGTAGTCCTAAATTATTGCACTCCGCTGTAATTTATACTCGGGTGTGATAAGGGCATAAATCCCCAACGACTGTGCAGCTGCAGGCTTCGACGGCGCCGTCGACGCGGCATGACGCCACTTGACGTAATGTCATACAGAAAAAAATGTTACACGCTGAACTTTGGATAAGGAATTAATGTGTGACAAGGATGCCAGTCATTATTATAATTCAATTAAAGTTCTATTCAATTCTTATGAAGAAAACTGAAGATTCCATTATGTCGTAATGTTATTTGTCTCATAATCCATAAATAAATCACAATGTAATAGTTATTTTATTCACAGATGGGGTACCTAGATGTTGTTATACCTCCTGACTTCATTTCGGAGGAAACATCGGGCGATGTGATGGTCCATGAAGGCGGGACAGTGCGAGTGTCGTGTCGTGCTCGTGGCCAGCCCGAGCCGCGCGTCATGTGGCGTAGAGAAGACGGTTCAGATCTTGTAATTAGACATACAAATGGAACTAAAACTAAAGGTCCGTAGAATTAAATAATACAGTTTACGTTTATAAATTTAATATTTAGACAATACATTAAGATAGTCACTTGAAATTAGTATGATTTTGTGCGTTTTTTCTGAGCATTTTTTTTTGTTTTTCCTAGTGTCAATATATGAGGAGGCAGTGCTAGCATTCAATAAAATCTCGCGGTCAGAAATGGGTGCATACCTGTGCATTGCGAGTAATGGTATTCCACCTTCTGTTAGCAAGAGGATTGTCATCAAAGTGCATTGTAAGCATAACAGTTTTACTAAAGAAATTATCTTATCTTTACCAGTTGTTTTGGAATAACTAAAATCTAATTTGATAGAATAAAATTGGTTAGCGGCGGATTCTTCGTAATTGTTCTTTATCTTAAAAAGTTTCGGATGTTTCTTGTTATTAATGGTGTTAGTCAATGTCAGCCTTCACTACCTATTAATTATTTTAGCTTTTAGATGGCATTGTCGAGACGAAGAAATTCCTCTTTCTTAGATTATCAGGATTATTTTGTGCGACGATTTCGATTATTAAAAAATACAGATAGTTATTTATTTTTAGTTACCGTTCTGGTCTTTCCCAATCTTCAGAGATCAATATTTCTACTTAAAATGTAGGTCATATACATTCTTTAATATATTTATCCTCTTCAGTTCATCCAGTTATTCAAGTACCCAACCAACTTGTGGGGGCGCCTCTCGGAACCGACGTCACATTAGAGTGCTACGTCGAATCATCGCCAAAGTCCATCGTCTACTGGGTGAGAGATTCAAGTAAGTCTAGACTTATTATTGTTTTAAGTGTAAACAAATCTTGCAAGGGTTTTGCATCTATTTACCGTTTCGAAGAGGTGTATAAGTTGATGTAAATTTCATTTTCAAATAGAAAATTGTGTATAAAAATATTCTATTACATACTTCTCACATATTTTTTTCTTTAGTTCACTTGATCTATGCTTCCTAATGTTTCTGCATTGTAACATTGATTCTTGTCTATTTACAATTATTAAATATTTCTATTCATAAATGTAGAGTTGTCCCACAAGACAATTTATAATTGTTACCACAAAATTGTTCTTTAAAATTATCATATTCGTTGTTAATTTCGAAGTAAAGTACAATTAATTTCGAACGCTAGTGCCGTCAATATCCTGACTGCGATTACATTCTGCGTTCATGAATCGAAAGTCAATTGAGTTGTATCTAAATTAGCTGTTACGCATTTTGTTGGAAATTGGTCACTTTATTTGAATGATGGCAAAAAATTTGTTACTTCAAATCAAGTCCTAGTTTGAATAAACATCTGATCCCTCTTCATTAAATTGAAGTTTAGAAGTCTTGTGACCAGGAACATTAAGTAAGGAAATCGTTCCACTGGGAACTCAGCCTGGTTACTTGACACGACGATAATTGCAAGCGTATTAGTTAATCGCATCTGTTAAAGTAATTAGAGATAGCATCGATTAGAGATAATTAGTTCTGGCATGATTAACATGAATGACTTATCTTGGTATGCAAATTTTGATAAATATATCAATAGAGAAGAATGAAATTTAAAGAAACTTAAATTATTTCAGGATTTTATAATGTAATTAAATAATGTTTCGTCAATAGTTTAAGAATATGTTAGTTAAAAATAAAATAAATATCAATACTAATCTAATAAGGAAGAAATATTGTTTTTTTAAAGTCAGAAACTATTGGACCAGTTTCAACAATTCTTTTACCATCAGAAAGCTAAATATCATCGAATAATGCTTTTATTCAGCGAAAGCTAGTTAGTAATCTGTAACTTATATTACCTATCGTATATAAAATACTGTACGGTCTGCAAAAAATTGTTTGAGTTTTTTGGCATGAGTCGAATCGGGCGTGTCGGTGCTCAATGGTTGCGAGTAATTAGATATTAAGTTTTAATTTATGAGTGCGTTGGGTTTAAGTCTTAAGAAAATTGAGCTATTGTGGTGAAATAAGACAATAGCCGTTAGTGCCGCTCGGTTGGTCACGGCGCGTTACGACTGCTCCGCGGCCGCCGACAATGCTTTTGTTATTTATATCTTGTGAATGTACGCCTTTTGCCGTTTCTATTATAAAGAGTAGTTCAAATGGAAAAAGTAGTTTAGGATTCTCTTCTTCGTGTTGCAGTTTCCATTCGATTTTATTTCAGTATTCCTCTAGACCTGAAGTTTTTTAAATTTATCGCATGTTACAACAATTTGTATAGTAAAGTTAGGTTTAACAATAATAGTCTTGACTTCACCATAGTTAAGTTTGTGTATCTAATCTCTAAACACATCAACTGACTGTGAATGTTAAATGACGGTGTCTAGTAGCAAGGAAGCAAGTTTCGCTGCCAGATCAAACATTCCAGTAACTCCGGCGGAGGTTGATTCGGTAAGTTTCCGCTTAGACAACCGGACAGACTGTAACGCCGCTGTCGATGTCGATCACTGATGGTTTACATATATTTATCGATATGATTAAAATATAATACATAATTGTTTAAATTGCATTATTGTAAATTATTCTGAAGGTTAATGGTGTTAACAGTATTAAAACCATCTTCCGTATGTTATCTATACTAACTAATATTATAAAGAGAAAAACTTTGTTTGTTCGATTGTAATGAAAAGGCTCAAAAACTACTGGGCCGATTTTAAAATTCTTTCACCGTTAGAAAGGTTATTTATCTATGAGTAACATAGACTTGATTATTTCTATATTTCACGCGAGCGGAGTCGCGGAGAAAAGCTATATTTAATATTCGAAGAGATTATAATGAAAAAAGAACGCTGGGTGTTCGTTGATTTTACTGATGAATACATATTTTATTCATATTGCCACATATAAGGTGCGGAGGCTTCTTTCAATGAGTTCCCAAGGTATTTCAAATGAAATTCTGTATTTCCACAATATATTCACATAATGTGGCATTTGCGGGACGGCTAGAAAGTTTCATTTTTATGTGTGCCTGATGTTTAATAATACGAGTAAAGTTAGAAACATACGTTTTTCCTAATATATTTGTAGCAATGCAATAAGCGCTCAAGTCACGGAATCTTCGGTTCATAATTCCCGTGTGCATAAAACTATCCGACATCCAATAATAGTGGAAAGTGGAAAATTTCACCACAGGGGAATCATAATAAAACGACCAGTATATCGCACCCGTTGTTAAGATTGTTATATATGTGACAAGCTTTTTAATAGAAGTAAGAACATATATTTTTGTTTGATATCGTCTCGGATATCTGTTGGTGGCTCGCCGGCACCAAATCAAACCATTACGTATTCACGGAGGATGACAACGTCTCGGATTATATTGCATTTGTTGCGGAGCGCACAATACTGGAATAATTCAAATGTTGTTTTATGTTTTGTTTCCCTCTTCTTTATTTTGTTACACTAGCTTTAGTTCCCGGCGTCACTTGCATCACATGAATCATAATTATGATTTATACCAATAACATTTATGATATTCCTTCTATTTTATATTGACTAATATTTCACAAGTCTAACATGTCTTTTTAGTAGATTTTTATTAATTTACTAATATTTCTTTTACAATCCCAACTAAGCTCTACGCTTGTGCTAGGATATGGTTAACGACATTAGTCGAAATGCGGGATTCGAACCCTCGACCACATTATCGGAAATCCGTACCACTAACCATTAGACTATTGGCGCTCACAAGAATTAATATATCTGTTTTAAATCGATTCAGTACATTTGGCTTTGTTCTATAAAATTTCTGTTTAAAAAAAGTTAAATACAAAAGCTAAAGACATAACCTATTAGTTACAGATGACTCGTCAGTAGTAATAAATCAGATGTTTCAGATTAAGCAACTGTTACATTCAGCGCCAGTAAGAAAACGAGCTGTAATGAGCTGGATGGAGCGATTCGAGCTTTTACTTCGTATTTCTTCCCCTCTATAGCCGTCGGCGGTTTCGCAAAGTTCTCTCAGCAGTTGTCGCCTGAAATTTACGAGTTAATTTTCAATGGGAAACGGTTTAGAGCTTCTAGTATTTTTAAGTTTCGTGAAATATTTTGCATTGTTTTGGTACAGGGAGATGTTAAATAACACCGGTTATTAAGCAATACCGATTGCTAGACTGAGTTACAAGGGAACTAAGGGAGTACCTTAGTACTGCTTAAAAGGTTAATAATAACTGTGTGGGGAATAAGGTGTATCGTGTTCGAATAAATGAATTTGTGGAGGTGTTGAAAAGGGTATCTCTTAATATAAAGGTGAAAAAAGCGAACTCAGTACGCTGAGGGATCCGTGCGGTAAGGCGTGAAGCATTATTTTAAAGGCGAACAATTTGGTAGGTGTAAAGGTAAAAGGTCGGACTGGTATTGTGGTGATTTTTTGACATCGACGTTTTCATGCTTGACATTTATCACTTTGTTTAAACAAAAACCCTTTATGCCCGCTACACACCTCCGGATTTAACGGTATATTTATCAGCAACCTTAAGATTGTGGTCCACTATGGAAAAGAAAATATTCATAACGCAAGAATTTACTCTTTTACGCGCGACTTCGCTTTGACGTCTTTAAATTCGTATGGCTTTTGCATTAATTCACAAAAGTGTTAACAGTTACGCATTTGTAGATACAATTGTCAGTAATTAAAGCAACCAATCTATTAAAAAATTGATTCATTATCGTGCTATAAAGCAAAGGTACATGTTCATTTAAAACAGTTTGTGGTGCACTGAGTACTCCAAGAGCTTTGCTACCTCTCATTCTATTCAGTAATGCAGTTTACAGCGTTCCACTACGTACACTTAGTGCTGTGGAAGAGGTCATAACTACTACAATTCATTGACCAATGCTTTCTCGACCGACATTACATTTCATTGGCTCAATTCGAAATATTTTAAAAGTGTTTACTATTTTATTAAGAGGGAAAAGTAGTTTTAATTAAGTAAAAATGTTGATAGTTTGATGTTGTTGGTAATATTTTTCGTCAAAGTAAATAGAATCAAAAGTACTGAGACTCTAACTCTAAGGTTATCTAAGTTTTAGATTATGACTAGTTCGTTAATATTTAGGTAATATTTGAACGTTAACCGAATGTTTTTTTTATGCAACTTAATATTCACTTTTATAGGCCGAAATGTGTTAGCACATACGTAATGCGTTATGACAGGTCTTAACTAATAAAACGCATTAAGGGATCAATTTGTTTTGGCGAGTATTATGATTCATGTAACAACCGGCGGCCGTCGATCAAGCCTTTGTTTGGTCGAGAACTTGGTGAATGACTTGCGTTTTTGCTGTGAAAGCAATGAAAACCATCGCGAAAGGGGAACAACGCTGGATCGTCATTTTCGTTTGTCATCAATCTATGTTAGGGCTGACATGTAAGTGTTAATTAAGCAAGCCCCACTCGAGCGTTATTAAGAGTGTTACAGTGTTATTTTAGACATTAATTGAGATGAAATTTCTTGTTATGAATCAAGGGCGAGGCAAGTCAGGGGTGTATTTTGTAAATTCGTTTGAAGGCCATCTTTGTCGCACGACATCGGCGAACTAGAACGGAACAAGCAAACAGAAGTTTCGATTGAAATTAAGATTAGAAATGTTTAGCGTTATCTTTTCGCTTTGAAGTTTCTTACAAGATAATTAGGTTGCATTTTTAATCAACTTTCCTTTTAGTCTAAACTCCGTTTATTTTGGAAGGATAATCAAATTTTCGCTTTCACTTCCGATACTGATTAGAAAATTAAGATTATCTTAGAAAATAAGAAGTTGTTGTTTTATGCTTGTATTTATAATTTTATGTTATGTCTTTGAATTTGAAAACTCAAAAGAGTAAATCGTTTTATCTTATATTGAATGAACAGTAACAATTTTCTAAGTCTATTACATTGTCTGAAGTATAGAAAAAATAAAGTGCGGTTAAATAAAGGTAAAAAAAATGTAGACATATTTTTTATATTATTAAGAGAAGTTAGTGAATGGCAATATGCTTTGTTCATTGCTTACTTACAAAATACTTCGTTAACTTTTGAATGTGTGTGCAAATCTCATTAAAGTACTAAATGTCCAAAACTAAATTTGTTGTAATCTTGTATAATCTCTTGCAAATGTTCGCAATAAAACAATTTCGTAGTGCACTTTATAAAGCGAATAAAAGAGAAAATGGTCGTTATAAAACGAGCGCGAGGTGTAGTATAACGCAACAGTATTTCCGTAAGAAAGCTAGTCACTTTATCATTTGCGGACAACAGACGCCGGAGCTTAGTGCGCCCGCCGCGGCCGAACGACATAACGGGATGGAAGGATTGTTTAGATTGTGGGACAGCACGGAAATTGTAGCCATTTTAAAACTATTTCAGCTTTATAATTGTTTTTTGCATTAATTCTTGTTTATTCCTGCATTACCAAATGTTTAAACATCTTACTTAATATTATAAATGCAAAAGTTTAGATGGATGGATAGGTGTTTGTTAGAGTTGCAGCCTAAACTGCTCAACGGATCTCGACGAAATTTGGCATAGATGTAGAGGATAGTCTGGAAGAACACTTCGGCTAGTTACTCTTGTTTTTTTTTTTAATTCCACACGGACGGAGTCACGGGCCAAAGCTAGTATTACTATAAACGAAATTATAATTTGACTAACGATAAATCAGTTCTTATTTGATTGGTTTGTCTTCTTCAAAATGAACGATTGCCTAAAATACTAATTTGTATTTTTCATTATGTCTATTTATTTATCCTCCTACGTAATAACCAAATACTTCTTCATTAATAAATTTTAAGTTTCTTCACAGTTACGTTTCGTAGTTTAATTAAAACAACAATACAATGAGATTGTTAATTTTCTTTTACAAATTAATACTTTTAATTGTACATTAACAATAGAAGTTGATGTTTCGCTCTTATTTATCACGGTTCGTTATTTTCAAAGAAATTCAAAGCCCCGACATAATAGTAAAGCTCTGTCCGGCAAACTTTATACTCTTGAACAATTAATACTTTCCAAAGTACTCTCTTTATTCCTATACTCTGCTACACAACAATGATTTTTTTATTGAATTAAACAGAGATTACCTTGCTAGTACAATTGAATTTTTAACTATTTCTATTTTGTATTTTAATGACTATTATTATTTTAACAGATGAAATGGTAATATCGTCAGAGAAGTATGAAGTCCTCAATACAATGTTGAGCCCTTTCGAAAGCCGCATGACATTGTCCATACGTCGATTGGAGAAGATTGACCTTGGAGGCTACAGATGTATTGCAAAGAATTCATTAGGCGAAGTAGACAGTAACATCAGGTTGTACGGTTAGTATATCAAATTAAAAACAAAATATAATACCATCAAGGACGCTATTATTTTGTGAGCACAGTGCACCAGCGAGTATAGCCGAAATCTTACACTACTCTTTTCTTAACTCATGCTTAACGTCAAAACTAAGGAATACACTTTAAAATTCCATCTTATACTAAACTGTATGTAATTTTTTTGTTTCAAATTTTGTCATAATTATTGGAGTTTAAAATTACTCGAAGTTGATTTATACGTCAAATCGCCTGGACATTAGGAATAAAACGACATAGGCTTTGTGTTTCCTCTTGAATACTGCAAATTAATTACTACACCTTAATGTTGATGGATAATAGCATCAAATTGGACGTGGCTGGAATATTATAAGGCATTATTAACAGTGCAATAGACTTAGCTTACAAAAGCCTTACTACTAATGGAATAATTCCCAAAATGACCTGAATGGTCAGCCATGCATTATACAATGTGGCTTAAGATGAACTACACTGATTACCTCACGACAATACATGCTTAACAATAAACTAATACTGAGAAATAAAAAAAGTCAAAAAATGCTTTCTTTGGTCTAAGAGAGCTTTTTAAGATAGATACAGCCATTAAGATCAAAACTTTACCGTCCTATTTAATCACACAAACTTCGTACACGTGGAATTAAAAAAAAAAAGTAAAAAAACGCCTACGAGTATATTACTCAGGTGTAATTTTTTTTAAAATCGGACCAGTACTTTTTGAGTTATGTAAATAAATACAAATCTTTTTTTTCATAACATTAGTATAGATATAGGTTACTTAAATCTAATCTTAAACCGTTTACCGCAAAATTTGGTTACAACTTTTGTACATAATAAACGGTTTGGTTATGCTAAAATTGATCATCCAATTTAAAATAACAATGAAATGAATAGCAAAACATATCTAAAGTAAACGAAAATCTGAGTATCATTCGTACACGTCTTTAAGAGAACGCAATGTTCCTACATCCGGGAATTTCCTATATCCTTCAAATTCTTTACATTAATATCGGGATCCAGGGCATTTGTTCTCGTCGCTCCACAACGCTCTCAAATTAGGTGTATCACTGCCATGTGAGACGTGCGGTGCGCTCGAAGCAGACACGTTTACTGTGTACCTACGTTATATATGTGCTCTATTTAACTACGTGTATTGTTTAAAATATATTCAGTGATGTAGCATTAATTTATGTACTGAAAAATACTGTCTAATTTGAATCGTAACTTGATCTGAACTTAAATGCATATTTTTTAGCTTTTGCCATTTGTAACCGAATCTATCAATAGTATACACAGAGTATAGTGGTTAACGGACAGTCTAAGTCTAGATTTACACAAAGTACTATGGGATTATTAAAGTTATCACTAAGCGATTAGTAGATACTGCATAATGTTGTTCCTTTTCAGAAATACCGGGACAAGATCGATTGAAAAGTTTAAGCACAGAACAGAATAAAGAAGATTACAAATATTCAACACCTTTAGAAGGTCCTGATAATCAATTCGGATCCGCAGATACTTCTGATGATGAAGACGAAAGAGAAACTTCAACAGATGTCTTCAATAAAATGTTAATAACTGCTTCAAATGATACTGCAAATAAAACTTTACATTTAACTCGTTCAAACGCAATAAGTAAATTAAACTTAAGTAACAAAGTAAAGAAAATCACAAATAAATTTGATATAACTTATCAAAATAATGCTTGTAAAAATTATAATGTACAATTAATACTGATATTATCGTTTGTATTAAAGAGTGTTTTATATTTGTAATATTAAATAAAAATCGCCTTCACAAATTAAAAATACTAAATCGATAACTTCCTTGCTCTTTTATCAATAAATTTTTATTAAATGAAATTAATTTATTAAAAAAGAATTAAAAATACATTTGGTCGTAGTTTGATAACAGTAATGCAAAACCTACGGCTCATAAACCTAATTGAATGTGTCGAGGCGAGCGGGAAATTGGTATTGATGCGAAAGTTCCGCTAGCACAAAATTAATATTCAACTGATGTTTAAACATGTACATACCGGCATTATATTATGCTAATTTGCATAACATACTGGCTTTTAATAAATATTGTGAAAGCTATTTTAATAATGGAAGTAAAATTATATTGCTTATTGTTACGTTATTACGTTATTGTATAAACTTTTTTGTACACTGTACACGTCGAAGAACATACGTGTGACGTCATCGAATCTTGTTACCATGCATGTTGTTCAGTTAAATCTATTTTAAAAATCTATCTAATATTCTAATTCCTTGTTAATAAAAGTTAAAATGTATAGAAAGTTATAAAATAATTACTCAGATATACTCGCTAATAAATTTTGATTGTTGTGCACAGATATAAAATAGCTATATTTTAATAAGCAAACATTTTGTATAAAAGTATACAATGTTCAAGTACTAATAAACAATAGGCTCGCAATTTCCACACCAGTTACTTATGAATGGAAAACTAATGTATAATATTTCAATGTTAACATGTATCCATAATTAAAGTAAAACGAAAACGTATGTATATATTAATAAAAGATGTTAAAAAAATTAATGCATTTTTATTCGACGTATTAAACAAAATTATTCAAAAATAATAATTGGAATAAATACACATCATTTTACAAGTAAATGAATGATCATTTTTGTAACATATGAAACTCATTGTATACACTTTGCCTCTTTTCTCGATCAGCCGTAAAGGCAAGAAAGCAAGTTGATAGACATCAAAATACGACTATAATAAATACGACTATTATTTCCACAATAACAATCAAAATTAAAGTAAAAATTAGCTTCACATAGAACTGTTTATAATAATCTGCTGTTATGTAAATTTATTATATCCAGTTCTGTTGTCACATTTTAAAATATCTGAACACATTGCGTGGATTAAAACATTAAACCCGTTTGATAACAAAGCCCGCAATAACATTAGTGGTAACACACACTTAAGCCCACTCTGATAATTACATGCCATTTACTGTAAAAGCAATCGTCTGGTTCGAACGAATCCTTTGTAATATTTAATTAACGAAAAGCTATTAATAATTCAATTACTTTAACAATTTCATATGTTATTGAATACGCTTGAGACTATAGTCGATTTATTTAAACATATATTAAGGTTAATTAACACAGAATGAGCATAATTGTAGCAACACAGTGATCATTTTTATCATATTTGAAGGCATAAAAACAATTATGGGTGAAGTATCACTTGTTCTCCTTAACTTTCATATAAAACTACACAGACTTTGAGCATATTTAAGAAACTTACATAATTTCCTAAACGAAAACAAGCCGATACAAAGTTATAAGTAGAATAATAATTTTATTTGAAAATCTGTACGAAGTAAGAATAAGTCGAGGCAACAAGTCAAGTTCGCGAATCAGGCACGGTTGTGGTTTGTTTCAAGTTTCCGTTCCAATGTGGGGGATTACCCGACATCTTCGCTCATCTTCATTATACGGTGAGAAGTTTGTTCGGCTGTAGCCGCCTCGCGCTGTGTTTTGTTCGTATGTATGCAAATGTGCCGCGCTCACTTCACAAACAAATACACAACTTTTAGCTACACATAATTACCTAATCTTTTATAATGTGCCAAGTTATTGTTAGGGGCGAAAGAAACTTTGATTTAATCACAATGCCGATCAAATATTTTTATTATTCTTTAGATTTTCATTACTACAAAAAAGCTATATTAGTTTTATTCTTTTAAATTGGGTTTATTTTATTTACTTAGTGTTTGAAATATTGTGTGTATAATTATAGTAACGCAATTAGGTTCGACATATTTCGTTATATCAGTGTCGGTTCACCATTTCGGTTAATTAAAACGCGTCTGAATTCTCGGGTTGTAAATTTTTCGTCTGCGAGGTTTTTTTTTTATGAAACTTTTCGACAGAGCATCCAGTTTTCTGTTTATTTATGAGCTTTGGCTGGCTGCGAACGGACGGTTCGCTCGACCGACAATATTTTCACATTAATGTTTGCCGGTTTTTGCTGTACAGATTTAGATGAAGTGTGGAATAATCATTAAATATACATCGTACACGAAACCGTTTTCCAAAAAACAATTTCCTTTTAGTTTCCTTCCTCATCGCCTTTGACCTATCAAATAAATAATAGGTGACAATGTGTAAAGGAAAACAACGTAGTGAAACAGGAGGTCCGTAACGAGAAAATAATCAATCTCCCGAGTCCACTTGGAAGCAATCAACGGTCTGTTATTGCGTCCGTCCAATCCGATAAAAGAGCCGATATATCAAAGACGTCCGCGGTTCAATTACTTGCCAATGTGCTATCTCTTAGACGCAGTAATCGAAAATGAAAATAGTACACATTTTGCAATGACCGACACATAAGAGAATGTCGGACCGCGTCAGTAACAGACTCCGCGGCATCAGGCCTGATCGATATTGTCCTTTATCGCAACTATTAAGGCCAAATTGAAATTTACATATCTGCTAGTCAGAATAAATGATATCGAAAACCTTTTAACCATATTTAAATCAGACATAATAATAAAGTTCTGTTTTAAGCTCTTCCAAGAATACTCCATATAGGAATTAATATACAATTTTTTACGTTTACATATTTGTAAAGCTAACAAAAGATAAGTTTTAGTTACAATGAGGACGCTCCTGGATTATAATTTTCGAGCGCTCCTTAAGTAATCTTGCTCCCGTTTTTTACAGAAAATATCATATATTTCAGTAAATTTGTCGACGCTATTTAAAAATATTCATATTAAAAGCAATAAAATATTACGTGAATTCGTATATACACTTCTGACGTTTAGTTGTGATGTGTTTGAATGTTTAATATTCACAAGAATTACATTAAACATGCAAAAGAAATATGAAATTAATTCATAAGTCCCCGTATGTGCTGGTGTTGTTCCGCATGTCTCGCTTTGAGAGACGCCCGCGGCAAAAGACGAGCTTTTAACGGCTAATTGCTTTAATATGTCCCAACGTAAGACATTGTCGAAATTAGATGAACCTACACTCTTCACGGGCGTTGTTAGCATGTTACCTTGGAAATTGTGCATCAACTCATCTCAGGTATAAAATGAAGTATAAAATTCAATTTAAAGCATCAAAAATAAGTCGACTGCTAACGTTGAAAATTTATATTTCAATTTAATAAAAGGTACAAAGTATGTATGTACATATTACTTCGTATAACAGACTTTTCCAATTATACATACTTTTTATTAAAACCTCATCGTATTTCTACTGTATACACTTTTATTAGCGTTTATATTAAACCTTTTTATAAGATTCTCTACGTCATACGAAATTGTTTTAGTATAAAACGGCCAATTCAATCAACTTCAGACTCATTTCGCTACACATAAAGAGAAATTAGGTAATTTGTTACGCTCCTTTCTATGCAGTCTTTGTATGAAAATATTAATCGAACGGTTACACAGTAATCTATTGGCGTAATACAGAATTGATAAGAAGATATTTCTATGTTATTGTTCGTCTTAATATAAAAACATTCTTAATAACATAAATATATCTTTCATTTGTCAGTGTCCTATTTTAGAATTTCATTCGAGCAATTAATATTTACCAATAAAGTGTAAAACCATAACCAATACAAATTAATAAAGTTTTAGATAAGACTCCTAAAATTAAAAGAAAAATTTTCTCAACGATCTACTCTTTATATGTGTGTATTTTGCTATAGGAATAATAGTCTCAAGCGAAATTCAAGTTCTCAAGGCTGTACCAATTCATTGGAATTGTACTAATGTGAGAAACAGAGCGATAGCCAGTTCCGTCCCAAACGAGCTTCACGAATGTTTGCCTAAATCTGACAGCTGCAGCTAATTCGTACCAAATAATCTGGCGCAATACTGGAATTAGGCGTAGAAACCATTACCCGATATATTGATTTATTTAGTGCTTCAAAACGACCCGCTCGGGTCTAACAATTCGTTGTACTGGATCCATTTATTCGTAACAATTCTGAACTTATACGATTGGTAACTAAAGTTTTCAACATATGGTCTGCTATAGATATATAGCTTATTAGTTTTTAGTAAACTAATATCGACATATAACAATCGACGATACGACAGTATCTACTAAATTCAATTTGTACAAAAACGTTGGCAAATCCTTATTAAACCCACGAAATTTAAGTTATTTTTGTGAAATAAATCGCAGTACTGCCCCTTTTGATAATAAATAAGATAAACTTTCCCTTTACCGTCACTTAGGGCATGTCCCACCACTGGCTGATAGAGGCTCAGATAGCTTAAAAATGACGTCACTATCACAGACACAGATTTTACACGTTGGATTGATGTCAGACAATTTAAATTTGATGGGACAGGCTTTAACCTTATAAAATCGAATGTAAAATAACATTACAAATACTTTTAGATAGGTGTCGTGCGCAAATCAATTTCCCACTAACAGTGAACTATAACTCAATAGAGTTGTTCAGAGGAACGTGCCAGAAAGCCAAAGAGAGTGCATCCATCGTTCCACAACCGTGTCTACTTTCGCGCCTGACAATATATTATATTGAGTGCTGCGAAAATTGCAACCGCGCTTCCAACTTTCACAATTTACACGCGCCCGCCGTCGCCGCCTGCATATGCCGCCGCATCGACTACGTACCAACTAAGAATTAAATACATAAATATAAAACCATTTCTATTCAACGCTCAGGGTACAGACTGCACATAACGTTTTGCCTGATATTATCTCGGATATAGATTAAAACTTGAGTGTTTTCAAGAAATTCATGTGCATGTAGTCTATGACGTTCTTTTTTTATTGATTTGTTATTAGAAAAATTGTTATCGTCAACACCAAAAAACAACCATTTTTCTCTAGTAAATTTCTAATATTTTGTGTAATGTACAATTTGTAAGTTTGTGATAATAATTGATTGTAAATATGTATGAGCATGTAACTAGCTATTACTAATTACTTTTTCCGCATGATAAAAAAATAGCCTATGTTACTCACAGATAAATTACCTTACTATCGGCAAAAGAATTTTCAAAATCGGCCCAGTAGTTTTTGAGTTATTTCAACAAATATATAAAAATACAAATCTTTTCTCTGTATAATATTAGTATAGAACATCAAAGTAGCTTATGAAACTAAATAATTTCGAATAATGCAGCAATTGCTGGATAAAGCTAAACTCAAACAATAAGTATTCCGAGATCAGTCAGGACGCAATATGCAACGAGGAGAATGAAATATTGAGCATGACTGGCTTTTATATCGATTTATCCACGAAATTGGTCATAACTTTGACAATTTATCTATATTTATTAGTTTGAGACTTTTTACAAGCGAAAAATTGCAATACGTTTATACGTGAGTATAACAGATTTGACGTTGACTGTCTTACAGTAACCATCCATTAAAATTCGTAGATGTCGGCGTAGACGTCTACGTCTTCTACGCCGAAGTCTACGCCTAAGTATTAGTACATCGGTTTCACTGAGATATGTAATGAATATTTCGATTCAAATTTTTAGTTT